CACTAGATATACCTCAGGGGGCTTCTCTTTACTCTGATCAGATTTACAAACTTCATTCCCCAGAGGAGTCTCCAGTCAGGATCCTCAGGGCCACGGGCGCGCTCCACAGCAGTATGTGCTTCTTACAGATTAAAGATCCTGGGCTGAAGTCGCTTTCGGATTATCCCCTTGGCTGGGGCACAGAGTGCGCGTTTTCCCCTCCACACACGAGGATGAGGGTTTCCTTCCAACACAGACACAAGGCAGCAGAGCATGCCTGGCCAATAGCCCAGCAGTTGACTGATTATCTTCTGTATGGCTGCCTCTTTTCTGCCATGCACATCTTCTCCCTCATTCCTCTCTGTACAAATTCCCTCTGAATGTTTTGGATTTCTCGCCATGTCAAGTCGCAACTTTCAGTTTTTGTCTCTACTCAGTCACCCATGGCACGGACCTGCATGGTTAGAAGGGAAACTACCAGAGCCCAGCAGTCGGCTTCATCAGCAGCTGTCGCTTCCTCCAGGGAATGCCAGCCAATCTCCCTGTGGTCAGGGTTCACAAACAGTGGGGTCATTTGTCTATAGCCCAGGTCAGAGCCATTAAGTTCCATGATTCCAAGGTTAGACCCTTGGAAAACAACAGTGCTAAGCAAACCCCAGGTTCACTGGCTAAAGGTTTTGCATTAGAAGAGCATTTGAGGTGCTTCCTCTGGTAATTTGGAAGGGGTCCCTTTTCTTTTCTCATCAGCATCTGGGCCATAGGACACCACAAATGTGCACCTCCACACCGCTGGGCATCAGGTGTGTGCGCAATGGCAGCAAGGGAAGGAGCAGCAGAGGAGGGGGGAAGGCTGCTACCCTGACCTGAGCAACAGTTCATTAGACAACTGGAGTGCCATGCTTAATTCTCCTGGGGCTGGTTGTCCTACCATTCCAAAATTTCACAAAGGGCCAGCTGCATGCCCACCCCAGTGGTGCACAATAACAAACCATGGTATGCATGGGCACCCCGAGCAGCCAGGGATGGTTGCCGGACTCTATGCAGTAACCAGAGACTTCTAACCAGACCCTTGGTAGGTGGGGCACAAATGCAGTAGGGGTACAGTGCTGTCTCTGCCTTTACAGGCAGAAGCCTCACAGCCAAACTGAACCCAAAGGGAAGTCACCTGGGGTGTAGCCAAATAACAATTCTCTCATAGGGAGCTTTTTAGGGTGGGAAGACACAGTGACACCCCAAAAAGAAGGCAGTACAGTGCAGGTCAAAAGGCAGGCCTGCCTGCGATTGGCAGCTCTGTCCCAAAGAGCCTTTGTCATATCACAGAACCAGTTAGTCAGGCAAGAACAGTTAGTTAATGATAACTAGATGAACCACATCTTAGATGGTGACCTTGTTCTTGGACGGGCCATCCTGTTCATTATGACAACTGTATTAACTGCCTCCTATTCACTCAGTTGGTGGTGGGATTCCATCTTGGTTTCAGAGGTAAAAGAGTCCATTATACTAGGCCTTAATTTCAGGCCACAGTTACTATAATTTAAAATATTTCAAAGACTATAAAAACATCTCAAATGTTCACTAATGTTGATTATATTTTCAGTGCAGAAACAGAAACAAAAACCTTAATATAGAAACAAGATATTATGAAGAGAGGTAAGAAATTTGATACTTCCAAAAAAGATAGGCTTAGAAAAGCAGAAAAGCTATAACTGAAAATAGGTTTAGTGGTTGTCAGTATAAGATTTCTGAGAATGCATTCTGCCTCCCACCATGGGAAAACTGGTACCGAATAATGTGAGTTTTTAATTTTGTAAGTATAGAAGAAAGCACCTTCACAGATTCACCTACATTGCTATATGCAGGCAGGGTTGTTTATTTAATACACCTTATTTTTTAGAGTAGTTTTAAGGTTACAGAAGAATTGAGCAGAAAGTAGAGTTCCTATCTACCCCTTCACTTCCACCCACTGCTACAGTCCCGTTATTCCCATCTTGCGCTAGTGTGGTACATATGTTACAATTGATGAGCCAATACTGATACATTATGACTAACTAAAGTCCACAGTCTATCTCAGGGTTTACCCTTTGTGTTTTACACTTTATGGGCTTTGACAAATGAATGACATGTATCTACCATTATAATATCCTACAGAATCGTGTCACTGTCCTAAAAATCCTCTACAATCCACCTATTCATCCTTCCCTGTCTTGTCCCAAACCCGTGGCCACCACTGATCTTTTTACTGTCCCCATATACTTGTGCTGTTATCAGAATGCATTCTAGACGGAAACCAAAGTGTAAAGCCTTTTCAGATTGGCTTTTTTCACTCAGCAATGGGCAAGTAAGGTTCCTCCATGTCTTCTGTTACTTGAGAGCTCACTTCTTTTTACCACCCACTCAATCACTGTACCTTGTAACCTTGTTATAATTGCTTACCAGTGTCAAGGTATTCTATTTTTTTGACTCCTCCGAATTTTCTACCTGAAGAATCACGTTATGTGTGAATATAGGCAGTTTTATCTCTTCCTTCCAAATCCAAGTTTATTTCCTTTACTTGTCATACTGTGTTAGCAATGACTTCCAGAAGGAGGCTGAAAAAGAGTGGTCAAAGGGGCCTCCTTCCTCTTTATCTTAACTGGAAAAGCATCTAGTTTCTCACCATTAAGTACGATGTTAGTGATAGGGCTGTTGTAGATGTGCTTTAACAAGTTAAAGAAGTTCCCTGTATTTCTAGTATGCTGAGATTTCTTATTGTGAATGTGGGTTAAGATTTTGTGAAATGCTTTTCTGCACCTATTAGTATGATCATATGACTATTTTCCTTTTGCCTGTTGATGTGATGAGTTACGTGAACTGATTATCAAATGTTGAACCAGGACTGCATGCCTGGAATAAACCCCACTTGGTCACAGTGTGAAGTTATATACAGTTGGATTCACTTTGCTAATGACTTGTTGAGGATTTCTGCATCTATGTTCCAAGACATAGTTCTGTCTGCAGTTTCCCTTTCTTGTAATGTCTGCCTGGTTTTGCTACTACAGCAATACTGGGCTCATGGAATGAGTTAGGAAGTATTTATTCTGTTTTTACTTTTTTGGAAGAGATTGTAGAGAACTGGTATTTCTTCCTGAAGTGTTTGGTAGAATTCACCAGCGAACACATTTGGGCCTGACACTCTCTGATTTGGAAGATTAAGTATTAACTCAGTTTCTTTAACAGACAGATCTTTCTGTGAGTTTTGGCAGATTGTGTCTTTCAAGGAACTGGTCCATTTTATCTAGGTTATGAAATTTGTGGACACAGGGTCATGCACAGCATTATTATCCTTTTAATGTGATGAAATCAGTTATGACTTTCTTTTATTTCTGATATTAGCACCTAGTATCTTCTCCTTTTCTTAGTTAATTTAGCTAAAGTTTTATCAGTTTGACCTTCCCAAATAACTAACTTTTGGTTTTACTGATTTCCTCTATTTTGTTTTTGATTTCACTGATTTCTGCTCCAATTATTATTTCTTTTGTTTCACTTACTCCGGATTTAATCAGCTCCTTATCCTAGTTTCCTAAGATGGAAGCTTAGACTCTTTGTGCAAGTTAAGATCATTCATTTGTGTAACCTGGTTTATGTAATCTGACTGATGGTGTAATCTAGTATACCACCTTTATACCCTGTCTCTCAATAAAAGCCCCACTCTAGCTTCACTCTGGCTCTGCTCCAGTCTCAACCCACCTTCTCTTCACAGAGTCAAAAATCTCCAAGGGCGCAGATCTGTCTCTGGGTACACTGGCCTCTGCCTTAGAGAGCAGTTACTTACAGAAGGTTTGTACAAAATTTAGGCTGACGACTAGAGAACTCACATAAGGCACCTCCTGGCTTGACATGGACCATGGGTGAACAGGGAAAATGAGACTTAGGGACTAGATATCCTTCTGTACTGAACACATTCTATTTGCCACTTTGTTATTTTGATTTATACATTCTAAATGGTTATGTATTACCTCTGTGGGCCTCCTTTTACAAGGCTGCTCAGCCCTTATACACATGGGAGATGTGCCTGATACAATAACAAATGCTAAATTAGGAGTGTCTGTTCTCTGTTCACAACTATATTAAGTTGCATTATGCAAATGAAGCACATATGGTTTATTATATAAAGAACCATACGTGGATACATAAGTCCTGTAAACTTAAGGGACACTTCACATAAGCATTTAAGGCTGTGACCCTAATTATTCAATTTATCTCTGCTTTTAAAAAGCTTCACATTCATGATTGCCAGGGTGAGGGCTGCAGAAACGGTATGATTATTACATGAGGGAACTTCTCGTGATGAAATCCTGATTCCTTTGTAATCCTAATGCAACAGAGACTCCAGATACCTTTTTGATTTTGTAACCTGTGTTGATGGTTACTCAAACTACTAAGTGATAAAATTTCACAGAACTACACTGTACACACAAAGTGCTTGTAAAAACTGTTGAAGTAGTAGAAATAATGACTGTAGGTGACTTAGTATTGTGGTACCATCAATTTCCTGTGCTTGACAATATACCGTGGTTGTGGAAGACAGCATTAGAGGAAGCTTGGTGGAGGGCATGTGAGAATTCTATGTCTGACTGCAACTTGTCTATTTTTTCATTTTACTACTTTTTTTTTTTTTTTGGTTTTTAAAGCTTCACATGGCACAATATACATCTATAAATTACAATTTTTTATGTTTCCTAAAGATAAATATGGCATCAAAACCCAAAACACGACTTCTAATGTTATATTACTTCTAAAAATAATCTTTAAGTTACCTCAAATTGAAAGCTTTCTCTTTAATATAAATTCTGACATAACCTAGTATTTTTGCTAAAAAAAAAAAATTGTTTTTACAAAATAAAAAAATCTGCAATATTTTATACCAGTATTTGCTTGGTGACATTCAATGGAATGTTACTTAACAAGACTGTCCTGCATTTGTTGCAGTCTACTTTGGAGTAAAATAAGGCCAGTTTGTGTGGAAGAAGGTTCCCGAACATTCAGGATATCCTGTCAACAGAGCTTCCGCCAGTGTGAATTCTTGTGTAATGGGTGCTGAACTGCAGCTCGACATTCCTAACATCCACTTCAATCGTAAGGTTTTTCTCCTGCGTGTGTTCTCTGATGTACAATGAGGTTTGACTTCTGAGAGAAGGTTTTTCCACATGTGTTACATTCATAGGGCTTCTCCCCCGTGTGTGATCTCTGATGTTTAGCAAGGTCTGATTTACGGTAAAAAATTTTCCCACATTCATTACATTGACAAGATTTCTCTCCTGTGTGAGCCCTGTGATGCACTGTGAGGGATGATTTGTGGCTGAAGGATTTTCCACATTCATTACATTCATAAGGTTTCTCCCCTGTGTGTTTTCTCTGATGTAAAATAAGTCCTGACTTCACACAGAAAGATTTTCCACATTCATTACATTTATAGGGCTTTTCTTCTGTATGAGTTCTCTGGTGGACAATTAAGGCTGACTTATGACAGAAAGCCTTTCCACATTCATTACACTCATAGGGTTTCTCACCGATGTGGATTCTCTGGTGCTGAGTGAGCTGAGACTTCTGGCAGAAGGTTTTCCCACATTCGTTACATTCATAGGGTTTCTCCCCTGTGTGTGTTCTATTATGTTTAGTTAGGTATGATTTATTATAGAAGATTTTCCCACATTCGTGACATTCAAAGGGCTTCTCCCCTGTATGAGTCCTATAATGTTGAGAGAGGGTAGACTTATGGCTGAAGAATTTCCCACATTCAGGACATGCAAAGGGCTTCTCCCCTGTGTGAGTTCTCTGATGTACTGTGAGGTCAGACTTCAAGCAGAAGGTTTTCCCACATTCATAACATTCATAAGGTTTCAACCCTGTATGAATGATCTGATGCCTGGTGAGTACTGACTTGTGGTAGAAAGTTTTCCCACATGCGTTACATTCGTAGGGTTTATCCCCTATGTGAGTTCTCTGATGTTGTGTAAGATGTGACTTCTGACAGAAAGATTTCCCACAGTCAGGACATTCAAAGGGTTTCTCACCGGTATGAGTTCTCTGATGCACTGTAAGGTGTGAATTCATACAGAAGGATTTCCCACATTCATAGCATTCATAGGGTTTCAGCCCTGTGTGTGTTCTCTGGTGTTTAGTGAGGTCTGACTTCTGGTAAAAAGTTTTCCCACATGCATTACACTGATAGGGTTTCTCCCCTGTATGTGTTCTCTGGTGTAACGTGAGGGCTGACTTGTGGCTGAAGGCTTTCCCACATTCACTGCACACATAGGGTTTCTCCCCTGTGTGTGACCTCTGATGTTTAGTGAGGTTTGACTTCTCCCAGAAAGTTTTTCCACATTCATTACACTGAAAGCGTTTCTCTCCTGTGTGTATCCTCTGATGTCGAGTGAGGTGGGATTTCTCCCAAAACGCTCTCCCACATTCATTACATTCAAAGTGTTTTTCTCCTTTATGAGTTTTAAGTTGTGAAAGGCATAAATTCCTCCTAAAATTATTCCCACTTTCATTACAGTCAGAGTGTTTCATATGTGCCCCATGATGTTTCAAAAGGGTAGACGTCACACGTAAGGATTTTCCACAACCACTAAATCCATAGTGATTCTCCTTTGAGGAATTTATCTGATGGAATAAGAAGGATTTATCAAAGAAGGTTCTCCCATATTCATTACATTCACAGTCATTCCCTTCTGCAATCTCTCTCTTGTATGTACTGAATATTGCCTTTTCAAGGAAGGTTTCTTGATAAATGTTATGATCAAAATTTTGCTCTAAAGTTTGAATCTTCTCATGATGAATAGGGTCCTCATCATGACTGAAAGTTTTCCCATTTTTAAAAAATTCACTTTTCTCTCTAGTATGAGTTTTCTCGTGTTTAATACTGAGTAGCAATTTTCCACAGGCATTAAATTCATCAGTCTTTTTTCCTAAATAGTTTTTCTTATTGATAAACAATTCTGAAATACAGTTGAAACTCACTCCACGTGAGTCACACTGACAGAGGGTTTTTCTGGAAGGAAAAGAATTTGTGTCCAAGTTATGTGGTTTTCCTACTACGTTACCTCGTTCTTCAGTTAGCATTTTATTATTGATGAATGCAAATTCCCACACATGTTTCGGCTGGTTTTCGTGGCTCCTTTCTTTCTTGTGATCAGTTTTCCAGATTTCTAAAAATAAGAAAAATTAACCTTACATATGAATAGTAACACATTTTTTATGGAATGCAATGTATATACAAATGCCCTATGTTAGTTAGAGCTGATTTGGATTTGTCTAGTCCAGAGAAGAAAATAACCGTAGGTACATATTCTTTCTATTCTTGAGTTTTGACATGAAAAACGAAAAATGAAAACTAGAAACAAAAAGCCTGGCATAGTGGGAAAAGGGAACGGAAACTGTCTATTACAACACATACATCTGCATTATGGTGTCTGAAGAATAACAGCACCCATTAAAATCTGAATGTGTCCATCTAGCCTCCAAAAAACTGTATGGATCAATATAAGGAGACCAAATAAAATTACCTACAACAACCCATGACTTCAGCATAACCAGGACATACAAAATACTACTAACTTCAAATTGCCACTAAGGAAAGAAACATTTAAACACAGAAAAAACTGATAATGAGCCCACATCCACTGAGAGTCAGCTAGAGACTGTGGCAACCACACATAAAGAAGAGACAGGGAACTCAGAGATGATTAAATACAAATGAAATCATTCCCAGAAAGGGGAAGCCCCACTACGAGTGGGAAAACACTGAGATGACATCTCAGTTCTGATACATGATAGCTCAGACCACTGGGAACTCCAACAGAAGGGGCTTGTAGTTAATGGGAACTGAGGATGCAAGCACTGATCCAGGTGAGGAATAAAACTGTAAGAAGGACAAAGTGATCTTAGAATAGACTTAAATTACAAGGAGCCAGTTATGAACGGAACTGTCCCTCTCCCAAATTCATATGGTGAAGCCCTAATCCCCAATGTGACTATATCTGGAGACAGAGGCAATTAAGGTTGAATTAGGTCATCAGTGTGTAGCACTAATCTAATAGGAACAGCATCCTTATTAGAAGCAGAAGAGACACCAACTTGCTTCTTTCCACTATGTGCACAGAAAAAAAGCCGTGTGAGGCTACAGCAAGAAGGTGCTGTCTACAAGCTGAAGAGACAGGGCTCACCAAAAACCAACCCTGCTGGCACCTTGCCCTTGGCCTTACAAACTCCAGAAGTGTGAGAAAACAAATTTCGGTTATTTAGGTCACCCAATCTGTGGTGTTTTGTTATAGCAGTCCAGGCAGACTAACAGAGAGTCCAAAGAGAAAAGAGATTTCACTGAAATTTTAATAAATAGCCCTGAAAAAAGGCATGACAACAGAGCAGAAAGGAGAATGACAATAAAACCAAAGAAAGAAGAACTGGTTCACAAAGAATATCCTGGATAAAGAAGGTAGTCTGCAAAATAAATAAAAATTTAAAAATAAAATCATATGCATATATGTAGGATTATACTCTCTACAGAGAAAAAAAAACAATGAATATTAAAAACCATAATATTGGGCGCCTGGGTGGCTCAGTCATTAAGCGTCTGCCTTTGGCTCAGATCCTTATCTCAGGGTTCTGGGATCGAGCCCCGCATCGGGCTCCCTGCTCAGCGAGAAGTCTGCTTCTCCCTCTCCCACTCTCCCTGCCTGTGTTCCCTCTCTCGCGCTCTTTGTCAAATAAATAAATAAAATCTTTAAAAACAAAACAAACAAAAAGAAGCCATAATCTAAGAAAACTGCCGAAAAGGAGACCTCATCCACACAGGCTAAAGAACCACCATGAACCTGGGCAAAGCTGACCTGGAACAGTCTCTCTAAGGCACACTCTAGTATAACTACTAGACCTTAAAAATGAAGAAACATCCTCGGGGCAAAAAGACTAAATCTCAATAAACAAATAAAAACGTAGATTTGGCAATAGATTCTGTCACCAATAAACAAAGCGAGGCTCAGTGGAGGAACATTTTCAAGTTAAAAAAAAGTGGGAATCAAGGATTTGATAGGGAACACTGGCAGAAAAACTGAGCAGTGGATAATTTAATTGTAGGCCCAAGACCAAAAGAAAGTTGAGAACAAGAATAGAAGAATAATATATAAATGTTAGAGGCCCCTGGGTGGCTCAGTTGGTTAAGGGTCTACCTTCGGCTCAGGTCATGATCTCAGGGTCCTGGGATCGAGTCCCACATCGGGCTCCCTGCTCAGCAGGGAGTCTGCTTCTCCCTCTGCCTCTGCACCACCCCCTTCTCGTGCTCTCTTTCCTCTCACGTTCTTGCTCTCAAATAAATAAAATCTTTAAATACATACATACATATGTGTGTGCGTATATATATATATGTATATATATACATATATATATATAAATGTTATATATTCTAGTGAAGCAGAAATAATGCAATTAGAAAACCTACAGGAAACAGGAATGAAAAGAAGAAATAAGAATAAGCTCAGAGATAGCCACATAAATAATAGCCTAAAGAATGTCACTAAAAGCTAAAAAATCAAATAGAGTTAAATAAGGAAATGGGCAACTAAGGCCAGTATAAAAAATTATTAGTGTAAAAGTAACTACAAGAAAACCATAAAAATTTAATTGACTCCCTCCAAAAAGAAAAACAGACCAAACAGAATAATTCAGTAAATGTGATACACTCATTAAATGTAACATAATGACAGAAATGAGACGAAACATGAATCATATTAATAAATATGAATGGGTTTAATTCATCAATTAACAAAATGACTTCAAACTGTGCCACAAACAAAATCCAAACTGATGCTATAAAGGGGAAACATAATGATAAAAACTGACTGAAAAAAGCTAAAACCAAAGGGATGGGCCATATTATTCCAGACAAAGGGAAACAATAAGGAAGCAGAGATGCAATCTTGTTATCAGTAAGGACCAAAAAAAACCAAAAAAACAAAACAAAAACCCCACTTTACAAGGCTAAAATCCTCAACTTTGAATGTGAAAATCACGGTTATGAATATCTAGAGTCCAAAAACCCTTGAAGCAGAACTCAGAAAAGCAAGGAAAAAATAAAATACACTATTCAAAAGAGTATTTCAAGAAAGATCAAAAAGCAAAAAGTTGGGGGTGTAGAAGACTTAATGACAACAACCAAGAAGACATGTATCTTTATAATGTCAAAACTTGTAATAGAAAAGACACTTCCATCTCAAGGGTGCATGAAACATAAAAAAAAAAAACAAAACTGATATAGGTAACATGCTCAGGTAATGCTACAGTAAAACTAGAAATTATTAGGGAAGAATAAGCTTCCATTGGGACTTCAAAAACAAACAACTCTCTAGTAAAAACTGCTCTTTGGTGAAAAAGGAAACAAACCAAAGCTGAAGTTCTAAACCAAAATAACTAGTGAAAATATTACTTAGGAGTATATATGGGATACACATACTGATCAGAGATTTCATAGCATCAAATGTTTTGTATCAGTGAAAAAGAATGAAAAATAAGTAAACCCTTAACTCAAAAAATAAAAAAAAAAAACTAGAAGAAAACAAAAGAATGGAGTAGAAAGCACAAAGAGGGAATTAATAAAGATAAAAACAGATAAACACAAAAATAAATTTAAAATAATACAGATAAAAACTTTCTCTTCAGGGCACCTGGGTGGCTCAGTTGTTAAGCGTCTGCCTTCAGCTCAGGTCGTGATCCCAGGGTCCTGGGATCGAGCCCCGCATCGGGCTCCCTGCTCCAGGGGAAGCCTGCTTCTCCCTCTCCCACTCCCCCTGCTTGTGTTCCCTCTCTCACTGTGCCTCTCTCTGTCAAATAAATAAAATCTTAAAACAAAACAAAAAACCTTTCTCTTCATCTTTAAGGTCTACTAGTTTTAGTAAAGGCGGTCTTTAGTGAACCATTCCACATCAGTTTTCCCAGGTTCCTGGTGGTCTCTGAATATGTGGATCAGGTCTTCTTTCATTTTTGGATAGTTTACTTAGATTAGAAGTTAATGGAACAGAAACAGAAAAACAGGAGAACAAGAGTTTAGTCAAAAAAGCTGGTTCTTTGGAACCCCTAGCTGGCTCAGTCAGTGGAGCATGCAACTCTTGATCTTGGGGTTTTGAGTTCAATCCCCACGTTTGGTGTAGAGATTACTTAAAAAATACATAAAATCTTTAAGAAACAAAAAAGCGGGTTCTTTGAAAAGATTAACAAAGGAGGCAAATCAATGACTACCCTAATCAACAAAAACAAGAGAAAGAAAGCTCAACTACCCAAACTGAGAAACAGTAAGGAGGAAACAATCACTGGAACAAGGTATGAAAAAAATCAAAAAGGCTATTTTTGCTCAACACGATACAGATATGTTTGAAAGAAAAGTAGCAAATAATTTCCTAAGAAAATACACCTTATCGAAATTAAACTTGGTAGAGACAGAAAATGTAAACAGAATAATTTCCACATAAGAAACAAAGTATCAAGTTTGCGTGAGCCATAAAATAAAGCATTTCTGTGCTTTTCACCTACTTTTACAAATTGTTAAATTTTTCCCATACTTGCCTTATCTTTCTCTATATAAAGTCTTCCTGACCATTAACTCTGTGGGTTAAATGCAAACATCATGACCTGTTATTTCAAATGTATCAGCATGTATCTCCTATGAGTTAAAGGCATGATCACCCTCAAGAACACTGTACACTGATACTACATCATCCATCATACAGTCCACTCAAGAAGAACAGTATCTTTGAAAATATCTATGTGCTTTTCAACTATACAAATCCCCTTCCTTCACTGCAAAATCCTCCACCATCAAGGGGTATAGGTATCATGAAAATGGGTTTAATCAAAATTGTCTTTAAAGATTTTCCACATAGGTTCTGAAATTTGTTAATGTATCTCTGAGGTATGCCTGTAGTATCTTTGTCTAGTTTTGGTATTAGCAAAATGCTAGCCTCAGAGACTGAATTAGTTAGTATAACCTTCTGGATTTTCTGGAAGAGTTTGGTAAAACTGGTATTATTCCATGTGTGGTAGAACTCACTAATGAAGTCCCTGTACTTGGGTTTTCTTCATGGAATGGTTATCTATTTCTCCTGAAGTGAGCTGGGATAGCTGTTGAAGGAAATTGTCCATTTTATCTAAATGGTTGAAT